AAGCCATACAAGCAGAAGCCAAGAAGGATGAGTCCTGACGTGGTTCAGAAGGTCAAGGAGAAAATTCTTAGGCTCCTTAAGGCAGGCTTTATTAGAACAATCAGATATGTTGAATGGCTGTCCAATATTGTGCCTGTGGTTAAAAAGAATGGTAAAATAAGGGTAGACATCGATTTTAGAAACTTGAACTTAGCAACTCCAAAAGACGAGTACCCCATGCCCATAGTAGACTTATTGGTGGACAGTTTAGCAGGGCACAAGATTTTATCTATGATGGACGAACATTCTGGTTACAACCAATTATGCATTGCAGAGGAGGATGTCCATAAGACAACATTCAGATGTCCTAGGAACATTGGCACCTTCGAATGTGTTAAAATGCCATTTGGTCTGAAGAATGCTGGGGCCACATATCAAACGACAATGAACACTATCTTTCACGATCTCATTGGAGGATATTTAGAGTGTTATATTGATGACATTGTAGTAAAATCCTAACCCATGGAGGAACACTTGGTTCACTTGGAGGCAACTTTCAAAAGAATGAGAAAGTTTAAGTTGAAGTTTAATCCTCTCAAATGTGCTTTTGGTATATCAGCTGGAAACTTCTTGGGCCATGTGATACACAAGAAGGGAATACAGATTGATCAGAATAAAGCCAAAGCCATCATTGAGGCCAAGCCTCCATCAAGTAAGAAAGAAGTACAAACGTTTCCTTAGTCAGGTTAATTTTCTTCGAAGATTTATTTCTAACACTGTAGGGAAAACTAAAGTATTTTCTTCTTTATTGAAGTTGAAAGATGAAGAGGAGTTTGTGTGGACAACAGAGCATCAAACTGCTTTCAAAGGATTTAAAGCCTATTTGGCCAACTCTCCAATGCTGATGCCACCAAAGAGTGACAAGCCTTTAAAGTTATACATTGTTGCAGCAGAGCTTTCCTAGCCCAGGACAATGAAGAAGGCAATAAGCAAGCAGTTTATTACCTTAGTAGGTTTTTAAATTCTTGTGCATATAAATACTCTGCTGTAGAAAAGTTGTGCCTTGTATTGTACTTTGCAACAATGAAATTAAGATATTATGTTTTGCCTAATATTGTTTCAGTAATCGCGACCACAGACTTGGTTAAGTATATGTTATCTAGACCAATGTTGAGAGTAAGAATTGGCAAATGGATATTAGCTTTGTCAGAATTTCACCCAGAATATGTCATTCAAAAGGTAGTAAAAGGACAAGTTTTGACTAATTTTTTGGTAGATCGTCCATGTCAAACGGAAAACCAGGAGATAATGGATCTTGGTATAATCAATGTTGAGCCATGACAGATGTGGTTCGACGGGTCAAAGGCCAATGGTCTGATTGGAATTGGTGTTGTAATTAAGTCATCACAGGGTTTAGAAACCACACATGGTTTCAGAGTAAATAAAACTACTTGTTCCAATAATCAAGTTGAATATGACGCTTTAATAATGGGACTGGAAATGCTAATTGGATTACAAGCTTATGCAGTTGATATATTTGGAGATTCTCAATTGGTGGTCAACCAAGTAAAAGGAATTTTTAAATGTCAAAGTGCAAGCATGTTAACATACTATGTTGTTGCATTACATTTGCTTTCTCAGTTTTAGATAGCAAATATAACTCATATCCCAAGGTTCATGAATAATAAACCCAATGATGTAACTCATAAGGCTTCGAATTTCAGAAGAAGGGATGACACTCAATTGAACATAAGTTAAGCAACAAATCAAAAATTAATAGCACCTTTAGCTAAAAGGAATGTTGTGTTAGAAGTCAATCATAATGACTTACAAGATCAAAATTGGAGACATCCAATAATGTAGTACCTAACTGACCCATCTTCGAAAGCTAGCAGAAAGATCAAATTACAATCTATGTAATACATAGTGTATGGTAATGCTCTTTACAAAAGGGGAGCAGATGGATTGTTATTGGAATGTCTAGGGCCGAAGGAAGCATTGATAGCCATGGTTGAAGTTCATGAAGGCATTTGTGGTGCCCATCAGTCTGGTGTGAAAATGAGATGGTTGCTTCGAAGGCATTCCTACTATTGGCCAGTCATCCTTAAAGATTGTATAGAGTATGCTAGAGGTTGCCAGGCATGCCAAAAACATGGCATGATAAGACATGTACCAATAACTAATTTATATACAGTTGTGAAGCCTTGGCTATTTAGAGATTGGGCTATGGATATGATAGGGAAAATATATCCATTCTCTTCGAAGTATCATTGTTTCATCTTAGTGGCTACAGATTACTTCACTAAATGAGTTGAAGCTAAACCATATAAAGCTGTGGATTAAACTAAGGTTATTGGATTTATTAAAGATCTAATTCACAGATTTGGCATCCCACAGACCATAACTATAGATAATGAGACTGTATTTGATGGAAAGATGGTAAAGTCTTTCACAGCAGAATTTGGAATTAGTCTTATTAATTCCACCATTTATTATGCACAAGCAAATGGTTAAGCAGAATTATCTAATAAGTCCTTGAAAAAGGGAATACAAAAAGCTATGGAAGACAATTCTAGAGATTGACATAATCTGTTGTTAGATGTATTATGGGCTTATAAGACTTCTCCAAGATCAAGTACATGAGTAACTTCTTATGCTTTAGTGTATGGACATGATGCAATGTTGCTTGTAGAAATTAACATTAAATCTTTTAGGGTGAAATGTCAGGACCAATTAACTTGTGAGCAATACCATCAAAGAATGTTTTTGGAGTTAGAGAGTATAGATGAAGCTCGAATTCTTGCATTAAATAATATTATGTTCCAAAAGAAAAAGGCAGCCAAGAGCTACAATAAGAAGGTTAAGCACATTAGTTTTGATGAAGGTGATTTGGTATGGAAGACAATACTTCCAATAGGAATTAAAAGCCATAAGTTTGGCAAATGGCTACCTAATTGGGAAGGTCCATATCAAATTCATAGAGTCTTGCCTGGGGGAGCATTCCATTTAAGAAATCTGAATGGATATGTGCATCCTAAAAAAATTAACAACAGGTACTTGAAACCTTATTATTCAACTGTGTGGGAAACCCAAGGAGTGTAGAAAATGCTAAACAAGAAACATCAAAACACTTGAACAATAAATAAGGATTTCATTTCATATAGAATCGAATACATGCAGCCATAAGTTGGCCCAAAAATCAGTACAATGTTTCAGTTGTTCCCTTACAATTGATTCACTACTCCTAAGGAATGGAAACAACTGAATGGCTGTAGCCATGTCCTGCCTTCGATCAGCCAGCCTTTGATTGGTGATCTGTAACTTTGTAGCAGTTCGATCCAAGGCTAGATTAACTACTAATAACTCTTCTTCTAATTGAGCCTTCTTCTCTAAGAGCTGGGTTCGAAATTGAGAAGCAGAGGAATGTCATCCTTTCAATTCAGATACCTCAACATGTATATGAGAAATAAATTCCTTGTCTTTTGATAGTTTTTCCTCTGCAGCTTTGGCAATATGGAAAATGTTGACATAAAAATCTATAGTAGTTGCTGCCTTAGACAAGTGACTTGAAATTGCCATGTTGGATTGCTCAATGACCTTACAGTACTGGAGGAAACCATTCTTAATGATAGGTCTTTGTAAGGCTGCGAATGAAATCCTTGAGAATGATGTCAGTAATTCCAAACAGGTGCCCAAGTCCAGTGGAGGTAAAGAAGCCCTACTGATGGTTGAAGAGCTCTAAAAAATTTCCAAGAAAGGGTTAGCCAGAACCAATGGCTTAGCTTCATTACTGGCTAATGGAATAGTAGAAGGTATGTTAAAAAGGCTAGCCAGCCTAGCTTCAAAAATGTCGATCTCTTCCATTGACATTGGAGGTGCAGAAAGGTTTCTAGTGGAAGGAATAGATGGCTGCATGGGGATAGGAGAGGAGGATGAAGTGTCCCTAACAGTGTCTATAGTCCTGGCCACCAGTAAGTCAAGAGAAGAAAGACTGGAGCTGGGTAGTGATGGTGGACAAAGAATTGGTGAGCCACAAGTATTTTTTTTGGGAGTATCAGCTATCACTGAAGATGAAGTGATAACTAGGATCTCCTCAGGTAGGGAAAGAGCAACCAGGATTGTAGGGAGAGTAAATTGGGGTGAGGTAAAAGTTAGATGAGGAAGATATGGAGTTAAGCCAAAGGATAAAGATATAGGAATGCTTTGCCTCAAAAAAGGTATGAAAAGTGTAGAACTAAGAAGTGAAAGTATTGTCTGGATGGGCTCTACACTTAAAGGCACTTTAGTGTTGATTTTTTTCCTCCTTTTCGAGGGTGCTTCTAATGGTTTTTCAACTTCAGATAAGACTGAAGAAATCCTTGTCGAAGGAGGAGGTAGAATAGCTGTTGCTGCAAAATAAGAAATATGAAGAAATGTTAAGTTTCATTACTGAAAACTTGGGAAGGGAAATTACTAGAGACAAAAAGAAATTACTAGTTTTAGAAGTGGTAGCAATGGTTGGAGAGCTGCGAAGGGCATAATGTTCAGCAGTTTGTTGCCTCCTTACAGTTAGGGGTGAACATGGACCGGATTGGTCTGGATTGGGAGAAAACTAGGACCAATCTGTTATCTACGGTTCCTGAAAAATTAAAACCAGTCCAATATGTTTAAATTATGGAACCAATCCGAACCAATCCGTTGAAACACGAATTGGATCGATTTAGGACCATGGATTTAAATAATTAAATAACAAAAACAAATATAGACATTACATTTTCATTCCAATAGCAACATAGCTGCTGAAAACCTGTAAACAATATAATTAAACAACATTCATTCCAATAGCAGCCTGCAAACAATATAAATAAACAACATCCATTCCAATAGCATTTCCATTCCAATAGCAACATAGCTGTTGAGAACCTGTAAACAATATTATATAAGTAAACATCCATTCCAATAGCAACTCCATTCCAATACTAAAAACCTGTAAACCTGTAAACAACATCCATTCCATTCTAAACTGGAGCAAACATCCTCCATTCTAAGCAAACATCATCCATTCCAAGCAAACACACATCAACAATAGTAGTAGACATTACATCAACAATAGTAGTAGACATTACATCATCCATTCCAAGCAAACACACATTAACAACAACCAAATTCAATAGTAGTAGAAATTACATTTCCCTTTTCCACAAATTCTAAGTAAACAGATATAAAGTAGTTTTAGACAAAAACAAATAAACAAACAAAGGCATGTTGACAGCAGCACAACTTAAGGATGACAAACCAAAGCACCACAACAGGGCAGTGGTAGCAGCAGCACAACAGCAGCAGTAATAGGTGATTTCCAGCAGACCAAATCACTTTCCAGCAGCTATGTTAACATTGGTTAGAGCTGCAAAAAAATTAATTTCAGTTTAAAGTAAAAAATAACACAATACATGAATGAAATTTAAATGATTAATTGAATATTGGAATTATATTACCTCTTTCTATGTCCTCCAAATCTGCAAAGTTTTCTTTCATCTGAAGTGGCAATGGCGAAGCACGCAACCAATCTTGTGTACAAATTAAACTTTCAACAAGTTTTGGAGTAAAAGAACTATGAAATTGGTCAAGGATACGACCTCCTGTGCTGAAAGTAGACTTAGAAGCAACAGTAGAGACTGGAATGGCCAAAATATCCCTAGTAACTTGAGAAAGAATTTTATATCTTGAAGAATTTGTCTTCCACCAACTTAAGATGTCAAAGTTTACAACTTCCTTTTCACAAGATTCTTCCAAATACCTATCTACTTCTGACTTTCCTTCATCACCTTCTTCTTCCTCCAAAAGCTTTTGAAATTTTGTCATAAGAGACACTTGGTGCTCACTTGCACCAATGTTTACTTGATCAACAATGTCCACCTCATGAACCATTTCATTGGAAGATGAAGCAACTGTCTCAAACTGTTTATACTCATCAAAAATGTTATTCAAAGTCTCTCTTACTTTTTGAGTGAGCTCACTCACCATAGCAGGTTGATAAACTTCAAAATAACAAAACCTCACATTCTTCAACTTATAACGAGGATCTAACACAACAGCAATCAATAACATCATATTTATTTTTTCAATTTTTCCCCAATACTTGTCAAATTTAGTCTTCATTTTTATTGCCATGGCTTTCAAAGAAGGATCTAAACTCTTTGCCCATTCAGTTAAGGCACTTTCTATACCACAAACTTCAGTGAAGTACAAGTTGGAAGTGACATACAAAGAACCAGACAAGCGAACAGTTGTATCATAAAACTTTTGCAAAAATTGTGTAAAAACATGAGCATCTTCCCAATCTTAAGAGGTAGGAGGTCCATGATTAAGTTCTAGTTTGAAATGTGGGTCCTCATCCTCTAATCTCTCAAATACTTTTTGAAACTTTGTTGCAACATCTAGCATTAGATATGTGGAGTTCCACCTAGTTTGAACATCTAGACACAACAAGCTTTTACATGTTACCCTCTCTGTTTCAGCACATGTCCTGAAAAATTGCTCTCGTTGTGGAGAACTCCTTACATACTTCACCGCATCACGAATTCGAGTTATTGAATCCTTTATTTCACTTAACCCATCCTTGACAATTAAATTAATTATATGGGCACAACACCTCATATGCAAGTACTCACCCCTTAAAATCAAAGAGTCAATGTTTTTTGAAAACTTCATTTTCACATATGCAATAGCTATATCATTTGCACTTGCATTATCCACGGTGATTGTACTAATCTTCTCTATACCCCAATCAACTAAACATGATTCCACTGCCTTACCAATTGCCTCCCCTTTGTGACTAGAAATCACACTAAAGTTGAGAATTTTTTTTTGCAAATTCCAGTCTTTATCAATAAAGTGGGCTGTTAGGCACATGTATGAAACATTTTGTAGAGATGTCCATGAATCCGTAGTGAGACAAAGTCTATAGTTTGCATTCTTCAACACATTTTTCAACTTTTTCTTCTCACTACAATATAAATCCACAATATTCCTTGCTACTGTAAAGCGTGAAAACTTTTTGAAATTAGGTTGCATCACACTACAAAATTGACGGAATCCTTTACGCTCTACAAACCTAAATGGCAACTCATCAGTGATTATCATTTTAACAAGTGAATCCCTACATGCTTGTTGATCAAATTTCCAAACTCCAAGAGTTTTTTCACCTTCGGTTACAGATTAAAATGCCAAAGTCTTTTGTTTTTTATTTTCTTTATTATGAGGGGACTTAGGACAATTTGCAATATGTTTTCTCAAAGTGCTAGTTCCATTTGCACTAATCCAAGCATAAGAAGCTTTGCAATGGTTACATTTAACACATGCAGCAGTCTTACTCCCTTCTTTAAAAATTTTGGTAAAATGCTCCCAAACTTTAGAATATTGTCTAGCTTTTGGCTTAGGAGGAGGGGGGCATACCTTTGAACCTGAAGGAGTTTCAGGCTGAGGATCATGATCTTTATCAGATTGAGACTGAGAGAGGTCAATTACATCATTTGTCTCTCCGGTACTTGACATCTATCAAACAAAAGAAATAAATAAATCAACATTTTTTCTATTTTGTTCATGCTTTTTTCTATCATTCTATGTATAGATATAACACTCAGTAATAAAATTTTAATGTTTGAAACAACTAAAATGATGGGAATAACTTAACTTTCATGATTGGCTCGACCCATTTCTATTTTGTTCCAACAAAAGCCCTGTTAGTGCAGGCCCAATTCTTTATTTATCAACATTCCAACCACAATGTATAAGGGTTTAGGATTTAGAAGGCTTTTTTCTTTTTTCTTTTTTTTTTTCAGTGCCAAAGCAAAGCCCCCATAACCCCAATAATAATAATAATAATAAAAATAATAATAATAATAATAATAATTTAATGCCTCATTTGGCAGTGCCAGTAATTTATACCCCTAAAGCTTAAAAATTATTTATTTATTTTTATTTTTTTTAAATGCACTTCTTAAGAAGTGTTAGCAGCAACCAACATAACAAGAGAAAAAACTTTAGCAAAGTGTTTGAGAATGATACAGGTTGTTACTCTTTCAGTTAAAGTGTTTGATTTATCAGGCTTTAAATCCTAGACATCTTCGACACTTTTGTGCTTTGAACTAGAACCAATCAATGTTTCTAACTATCAAAAAGTACTTGTGCTCACATTCTGCCTGAAATGATCTTACCATCTAGCAAAATCTTTGTTTAATTTCCATAAACACTGATTTGTGCATCAATGGTTACTTAAATCAGAGTCGGAATATTTATGGAATGATCTTACCCCTGTTCTATAATCTTACCCCTGTTCTATAATCTTTTTCCCCTCATTAATAAAAGATGGAAAAATAGAGAAAATATCTACATGAAATACAATCAGACTGATCAAACAAACAACACAAAACAGAGATGAAATCAGAAAAAAAAAACAGAAAATAGAAATACAAAACAGGAAGAAAAAAAAGTATAAAAATAAAATAAAAACAGAAAACATAATAAAAAATAAATAAAAATAAAAACAGAAAAAAAAATCTCCTACTTACATTTACCAAATCCATTGTAGATGACATGAACAATCGATCTAATCTTCGATGGATGATCTGGGAACCCATTTCAGAGTGTTGGAGATTAAACCCATTTTAGAGTGTTAGAGAGAGAGAGAGAGAGGGGAGCTCACTGAAAGATAGAGACAATAACTATAGCTATCGATCTAATCTAAGATGGATGGTCTGGGAACAAATGAACAAAAATAGTCACTGATCTGAGAGAGAGAGAGAGAGATAAGAGATGAGAACACCGAGAGAAAGAGAGAGAGCTCACCGACAGAGAGAGACGAGCAACAGCACACCGATCTGATTTGAGATGGATGAGAGTGTGAGAGAGAACTTAGTCTGAGATGGGAAAGAGAAGAGAGAGAGACATCATCGATATAGAGACCTGAGATGAGAGTGGGAGGCGTGAATGAGTGAGGCTGCTGGATTAGGTTAGGTTACATTTTAGTTTTTATATCAGATAAGAAATTATATGGTGTGGAAGGTATATAGCATAAAAATATAGATTATTTCTAGATGGTCCGGATCGGTTCCAATTCGGAACCGTGGGGTTCAATCCAGAACCGATTCGTGGCCTACGGATTTTGAAATTTTCAATCCGGAACCGAACCACGGATTCAAAAAACCAATCCAAACCTATCGGATTGGACTGGACCGGATCGGATTACGGATTTTATGGATCCCTTGCTCAGCCCTACTTATAGCTTCTCTTCGGAGTGCATCAGCAGGAGCAGCTTCATCCCTTAGTACTTGCTATTGTCTTCTTTTCTCAGACCTCTGAAATACAATGATTTCTTTGGAGTGCTCATTTTCCACTGTTTGGCAGCTGCTTCATGAGTAGAGTCCCTAATAAGATCACATGAAGAAACTGTCATTTTCTTTCTTCTTTTCAATGGTATCTCTTTCTCTTTTTTTGTTTCTTTATCTTCCAAGTGAGTTTCAGGTGTTTCCTTCTCAGGATCAAGCAAAATTTTTCTTTTCCTCTGTTATTGTTGTTTGCCTTTAAAGACATTTAAAGCCTGAACTTTTTGGGGAGATTCTACTTGTGAAGCTCCTGCATTAAAAAACAAAGCCATAAAGTAGATGAACAAGGCATTATAAACATCATAGAGAAAAGAGAAGGGAAAAAATAGAAATGCATGCCTCTCTTCGAAGCAACCCTGGTGACTCTAGGAGAAGGAGGAAAGGTAGCAAGAGTAGTCTCTATTGCAGCGGGAGCAAGAGCTGGAATAGCAGGGGCAGTAGAGACTGTAATAATGGTCCTAGTCTTTTTGGGTTTGGCTTGAGTGGGCACATCTAGTCCCACTAGCAGATCTTTGAGAGGTATTACTAGGAGCACCTCTATATTGGCTGTCCACCAATTTTGAAATCTTTTCAAAGCTGTGCCATGTGGGGTAAAAGGGGTGATTTGAAACTCCCTTAACTCTTGTAGCAATTTGAATGTTGCTTCTTCCAATTTGTTTTTGGGTACCTTCAAGTCTCTGACTATGAGATTGGTATTGGAGAGGCTACAAAGAGGGACATGGATTCCTTGAGTAAGCCCAAATTGCCTGGCAAATTGGGAAGGACAGTAAACTTCAGATATACATTTGTAAGCTCAAAGATTCAAAGTACCAATGAAGAGCTCCCTTGGAAATAAGATAGAGGCCACATATCCTTGTGTAATGAATTAGAGCACTCCTTATCAGCCAAAAATGCCCTGAGGTAGGCTGGTCCTGTATTAGTTTCGAAGGGGCAAAAAAAGGAAGGAAGTGGAACAATTGGGAGTTGATGAAAGAAAGTAAAATAGTAGGCAAAGTTAGAGGGATATAAAGAAATCCTGGCAAATTTTTCTCTGTAAGTAGTGGGTTTTTGCACCAAAAATCTCAAGCACTTGGAATGTAGACCAGTGAAATATGCGAAGAGCCAGAGTTGTAATACCCATAGAGGGCCACCTTGGTTGACATCCAGAGGTTTCTAATAAAATTGGGAGCAAGCTCTATAAACATAGCCTAAAACATAAGGAGCCAAGGCTATCCTCTTCTTCGAGGCAAGAACCTTGGCAAGTGAGGCAAACTCAGGCATAATCCTCTGA